GACGGTATCACCGCCTGGTACGGCAACTACACCGCCCACAACTGCAGGGCTCTCCAGAGGGTGGTGCGGTCTGCCCAAAGCATCACCGGGGGCACACTGCCTGCCCTCCTGGACCCCAGGCTGCTGCCCTATATACAGTGGGGAGAACAAGTATTTGATACACTGCCGATTTTGCAGGTTTTCCTACTTACAAAGCATGTAGAGGTCTGTAATTTTTATCATAGGTACACTTCAACTGTGAGAGATGGAATCTAAAACAAAAATCCAGAAAATCACATTGTATGATTTTTAAGTAATTAATTTGCATTTTATTGCATGACATAAGTATTTGATACATCAGAAAAGCAGAACTTAATATTTGGTACAGAAACCTTTGTTTGCAATTACAGAGATCATATGTTTCCTGTAGGTCTTGACCAGGTTTGCACACACTGCAGCAGGGATTTTGGCCCACTCCTCCATACAGACCTTCTCCAGATCCTTCAGGTTTCGGGGCTGTCGCTGGGCAATACAGACTTTCAGCTCCCTCCAAAGATTTTCTATTGGGTTCAGGTCTGGAGACTGGCTAGGCCACTCCAGGACCTTGAGATGCTTCTTACGGAGCCACTCCTTAGTTGCCCTGGCTGTGTGTTTCGGGTCGTTGTCATGCTGGAAGACCCAGCCATGACCCATCTTCAATGCTCTTACTGAGGGAAGGAGGTTGTTGGCCAAGATCTTGCAATACATAGCCCCATCCATCCTCCCCTCAATACGGTGCAGTCGTCCTGTCCCCTTTGCAGAAAAGCATCCCCAAAGAATGATGTTTCCACCACCATGCTTCACGGTTGGGATGGTGTTCTTGGGGTTGTACTCATTCTTCTTCTTCCTCCAAACACGGCGAGTGGAGTTTAGACCAAAAAGCTATATTTATGTCTCATCAGACCACATGACCTTCTCCCATTCCTCCTCTGGATCATCCAGATGGTCATTGGCAAACTTCAGACGGGCCTAGACATGCGCTGGCTTGAGCAGGGGAACCTTGCGTGCGCTGCAGGATTTTAATCCATGACGGCGTAGTGTGTTACTAATGGTTTTCTTTGAGACTGTGGTCCCAGCTCTCTTCAGGTCATTGACCAGGTCCTGCCGTGTAGTTCTGGGCTGATCCCTCACCTTCCTCATGATCATTGATGCCCCACGAGGTGAGATCTTGCATGGTGCCCCAGATTGATTCCCCGAGGTTGATTCACCGTCATCTTGAACTTCTTCCATTTTCTAATAATTGCGCCAACAGTTGTTGCCTTCTCACCAAGCTGCTTGCCTATTGTCCTGTAGCCCATCCCAGCCTTGTACAGGTCTACAATTTTATCCCTGATGTCCTTACACAGCTCTCTGGTCTTGGCTATAGTGGAGAGGTTGGAGTCTGTTTGATTGAGTGTGTGGACAGGTGTCTTTTATACAGGTAACGAGTTCAAACAGGTGCAGTTAATACAGGTAATGAGTGGAGAACAGGAGGGCTTCTTAAAGAAAAACTAACAGGTCTGTGAGAGCTGGAAATCTTACTGGTTGGTAGGTGATCAAATACTGATGTCATGCCATAAAATGCAAATTAATGACTTAAAAATCATACAATGTGATTTTCTGGATTTTTGTTTTAGATTCCGTCTCTCACAGTTGAAGTGTACCTATGATAAAAATTACAGACCTCTACATGCTTTGTAAGTAGGAAAACGTGCAAAATCGGCAGTGTATCAAATACTTGTTCTCCCCACTGTACATAGACATGGAATCACTGGTCACTTTAATAATGGAACACTAGCCACTTTAAAAATGTTTACATACTGCGTTAGTCATTTCATATGTATATACTGTATTCTATTCTACTCTATTTTAGTCAATGCCACTCCGACATTGTTCGTCCTAATATTTATATAGTTCTTAATTTCATTATTTTACTTTTAGATTTGTGTGTATTGTTGGCACCCGATGCCACAGGAAGGCCAAAAAGATCATCAAGGACATCAACCACCCGAGCCATGGCCTGTTCACCCCGTTACCATCCAGAAGGCGAAGTCAGTACAGGTGCATCAAAGGTGGGACCGAGAGACTGAAAAACAGCTTCTATCTCAAGGCCATTAGACTGTTAAATAGCCATCACTAGCCGGCTACCACCCGGTTACTCAACCCTGCACCTTAGAGGCTGCTGCCCTATATACATAGACATGGAATCACTGGTCCCTTTAAAAATGTTTATGTACTACGTTAGTCATTTCATTTGTATATACTGTATTCTATTCTATTCTATTTTAGTCAATACCACTCCGACATTGCTCGTCCGAATGTTTATATATTTCTTAATTCCATTCTTTTACATTTAGATTTGTGTGTATTGTTGTGAATTGTTAGATACTACTGCACTGTTGAAGCTAGGAACACAAGCATTTCGCAACACCCGCAATAACATCTGCTAAATATGTGTAGGTGACCAATAAAATGTGATAAGAGAGACACACAGCGAGGGAATGGCTGGAGAGACATAGCCACTGTTGTACAGAGATGTTTTCCTGTCTTGAACCTGTAGATGGGGGAAACGGTCCAGTTTTACTAAGCAACAAGTAGGAATGGTTGGTGAGCTGCTCAGGATACGGTAAAGGAACTGGGTAGCCAACATAGTATGTCTCTGTGAATAATTCTGCCTTCGATTATCATAACACACTGACCTACACTACCAGTCAAAAGTTTTAGAACACCTACTCATCCAAGGGGTTCTCTTTATTTTTACTATTTTCTACATTGTAGAATAATAGTGAAGACATCAAAACTATGAAATAACACACATGGAATCATGTAGTAACCCTTTGCCTTGATGACAGCTTTGCACACTCTTGGCATTCTCTCAACCAGCTTCATGAGGCAGTCACCTGGAATGCATTTCAATTAACAGGTGTGCCTTCTAAAAAAGTTAATTTGTGGAATTTCTTTCCTTCTTAATGCGTTTCAGCCAATCAGTTGTAGGTAGGGGGTGTATATAGAAGATAGCCCTATTTAGTAAAAGTCCAAGTCCACCAGCTCAAATAAGCAAAGAGTACACAACAGTCAATCATTACTTTAAGACATGAAGGTCAGTCCATACGGAACATTTCAAGAACTTTTAACGTTTCTTCAAGTGCAGTCGCAAAAACCATCAAGCGCTATGATGAAACTGGCTCTCATGAGGACCACCACAGGAATGGAAGACCCAGAGTTACCTCTGCTGCAGAAATTCATTAGAGTTACCAGCCTCAGAAATTGCAGCCCAAATAAATGCTTCACAGAGTTCAAGTAACAGACACATCTCAACATCAACTGTTCAGAGGGGACTGTGTGAATCAGGCCTTCATGGTTGAATTGCTGCAAAGAAACCACTACTAAAGGACACCAATAAGAAGAAGAGACTTGCTTGGGCCAAGAAAACACGAGCAATGGACATTAGACCGGTAAATGTGTCCTTTAGTCTGGAGTCCAAATTTGAGATTTTTGGTTCCAACCACCGTGTCTTTGTGAGACGCGGTGTGGGTGAACGAATGATCTCCGCATGTGTATTTCCCACCGTAAAGCATGGAGGAGGTGGTGTTATGGTGTGCTTTGCTGGTGACACTGTCTGTGATTTATTTAGAATTCAAGGCACACTTAACCAGCATGGCTACCACAGCATTCTGCAGCGATACGCCATCCCATCTGGTTTGGGCTTAGTGGGACTATCATTTGTTTTTCAACAGGACATTGACCCAACACACCTCCAGGCTGTGTAAGGGCTATTTAACCAAGAAGGAGAGTGATGGAGTGCTGCATCAGATGACCTGGCCTCCACAATCCCCCAACCTCAACCAAATTGAGATGGTTTGGGATGAGTCGGACCGCAGAGTGAAGGAAAAGCAGCCAACAAGTGCTCAGCATTTGTGGGAACTCCTTCAAGACTGTTAGAAAAGCATTCCAGGTGAAGCTGGTTCAGGGAATGCCAAGAGTGTGCAAAGATGTCATCAAGGCAAAGGGTGGCTATTTGAAGAATCACAAATATAAAATATATTTTGATTTGCTTAACACTTTTTTGGTTACTACATGATTCCATATGTGTTATTTCATAGTTCTGATCTCTTCCCTATTATTCTACAATGTAGAAAATAGTAAAAATTAAGAAAAACCCTTGAATGAGTAGGTGTTCAAAAACTTTTGACCGGTAGTGTATATTCAAAGTGGTCTTCTAGCCTCCCTACTCTTCTTCATCAGGAGTTACCAAACACTACTGGAGAGCTATTGGAGGTGCAGGTTTCTGTTCCAGCCCGGTTAACAACCCTTATTCAGTTTATCAAGGTCCTGATGAGAGGATGATATGTAGGACTTATTAACCAGGTGTGTTAGAGCAGGGCTGGAACAAAAACATGCACACACAGTGGCTCTCCAGGAGGGGTTGGCAACTCCTGCTCTAGGTTCCATGAAAAAGGAACAGAGGTTGGTGTCATTAATAAAATAGATAAAATGACCAATAAAGATGTAGAATATCATTGATTTTATCATATCATTTTAAAGTACAGTGGTAAAATATGAGGAATGACATGACTATAGACAGTGTTGCATGATCACACAGTGAAAGCACTGGGATAGGTACTCATCTAGCTTTCCATTTTACCGAACATTTTGGTTAGTGATGACAAGTACTGTTAACACATTGTTTCCAGTAGTCTATATGGAATTGATAACCAAATCAAAGTCTGTAACAATTTTAGCTGTATATGTAATACATAGATTAATGTTGATATGTTAATAACAACTAATACATTGAGATACATAAGTGCCCCTAAATTAAATGACAGTAGGCTAATATAGGTAAGAGGTTGATAATTAGGCTTGTTTAGACCGGTACAGTAGCTAGCTCAACCATGTTGCTTGGAGTGGACCAGGAGCAGGCAGGGTTTGCATGTATATCTGACCCCAGGTAGAGTAGCAGGATTGTGGGGGAGAGAGAGAGGACAGGCAGCGTGAACCTCTCAGAGCCCCAGGGTGTCTTTCTGCACCTGGCAACCCAGAAGGGTGTTTCCAGCCTGGACACACTCGGACACACTGGCCGCTGAAACACACGTCACCAGGACAGGCATCATTATACTGTGGAATCATGGTGGCAAGGGTGGGCAAAATGTATCTTAAAACACTTGTTCAAAGACAAAATACCACCAACATTGTATTGTGAATGATTATACTCAAAATACAAATATATTTGTCATTTAAGTAATATGGTAGATCTCTACCAGGAAATTAATAAATAAACAATTTATTTTGAATAAGGGTAGATGAAGGCCAAGAGTTTAGATGCCAGGACTATGAGAGTGAGCTATAGCTACCTTTCTGAGCCTGGATCCATGATACTGCCTTCATGGCCAGAAACTGCCACTCCTCCTGAGCCTCCATCTTGAACCCATAGAGCCATACCAGGGCTAGAACCGTGGCCCACACCTCCTGGTCAACCTGTGTGAGAGAGAGAGAGAGAGAGAGAGAGAGAGAGACAGACAGACAGACAGACAGAAAGACAGACAGACAGACAGACGCGGAGAGAGAGAGAGAGAGAGAGAGAGAGAGAGAGAGAGAGAGAGAGAGACAGAGACAGAGACAGAGACAGAGACAGACAGACGTAGAGAGAGAGACAGACAGAAAGACAGACAGACAGATGCGGAGAGAGAGAGAGACAGAGAGAGCAAGAGAGAGACAGACAGACAGACGTAGAGAGACAGACAGACAGACGTAGAGAGACAGACAGACAGACGTAGAGAGACAGACAGACAGACGTAGAGAGACAGACAGACAGACGTAGAGAGACAGACAGACAGACGTAGAGAGACAGACAGACAGACGTAGACAGACAGACAGACAGACGTAGACAGACAGACAGACAGACAGACAGACAGACAGACAGACAGACAGACAGACAGACAGACAGACAGACAGACAGACAGACAGACAGACAGACAGACAGACAGACAGACAGACAGACAGACAGACAGACGGACAGAGGGAGAGAGAGAGAGAGAGAGAGAGAGAGAGAGAGAGAGAGGATAAGGATACTGAGACATGGGAATCATCTGGTGATTCAAATCAATGGTCATCATGCCTTTGTCCAGAGCCGATGGTCTTTCTACAGAGCACACGTGCAGATACTCTCAGTTTATTTCTGTGGACCTACCAGTGCAGGCTTTGGCTTGGCCACCTCCTCCTCAGTCTTCCCCAGCACCTCAGCCAACGCTGGCTCCAGGCCCCAGGAACCAGAGGCCTTCTGGAGGGAGATCAGCTGGAGGAGAGGGTCCCTCACAGGCTTAGAGGCTGGGGCTGGACAGTCAAATTCTGATGGGATGGGACAATATCAGAAACGGTTACAAATGATCGAAACGGTTACATACCTAATACCTTAACTGCCCCATTATAGCGCCAGTGGCGAACTGCGTCACCCTAACCTAATCCCTAATCCTAAAAACAGTTGTGGTAAAATCCTTGTGCTGTGCTTGAGTAATACAATCACAATAAACAGAACACTTTGGGGAGCATCAAACAGTTGTAAAATTCCCATGTGAATAACAGGTATTTGAAATGAGGTTAACACAGATATTAACCCTTAAAATTACCTTTGTAAGAGTCTTGGTCACAGTTTAATAATAATAATTTAAAAGCCTCCAAATCTGAAAACCAATGTAAATGGGTTATGTCGTACATTCACATTAACAAAAGTCTATCAATAACAGATCACAATTCAATATTTTAATTGCTGTTTACTTCTACCCCAAATAATTCAACATTAACAATGTTGATTCCAACATTTCTGTAATAGCTATGACATGTGAAAAGGAAAACAGTTATGAAATGTCTATTGTCAATTCTGCATTTTGTCAAATGTAATTATTTGAATTGAACCTGAAATTAATAAAAACATGTAGTTTCATCAAAACATGTAGACTTTAAACATGAACCCATAAGATCACAATCTTAATACAAATGAACAGGGATCGTATTAACAGGGTTTAGTAAAAGTAGTATTATTAACTCATACTCATCACATCCAAAGTCCTATTTATGGAGCTGTCACACACCACTGAGAAAGAAGGAAAAAAAACACACAGGTCACTGGGTTACAAACAAAGGAACACGCACAGAACGCATTTATGACTAAACACTGAGGCCTTACACGTGCAGAGGGCACAGTTTGTGACACTGCAGCTCATGGTTACCACTTATTTAGCGCTATTTACATAATATTTGCAGAAAATAATTTCCTTACGCATACTATGTTTTATAGACACACACACACTTGGTGTGGGGACTTGTCTGTGTAGCATCGGTCGTTTTACAGACACACACACACTTGGTGTGGGGACTTGTCTGTGTAGCATCGGTCCTTGCACAACCTCTCTATCTCCTTTGTGGACAGCAATGAAGGCAGTAAAAGCACTGCTCACTCCTGATTGGACGCTGAGCTCTACCACCTTCTCTTTCACTCCCTCCTTCTCCCCATCCCCCTCTCTCTCTTCCATCTCCAGGGAGCGGATCAGGGTTCGAGACCCCAGCCTGTGGACGGTCAGTCTGGAGAGGAGGGATAGAGATAAGTAGGGTGAGGGAGAGAAGGGTTAGAGAGATTAAGATGGTGGAGTGGGGGAGAGGAGGGTTGATGATGGGATGGGGGTACCTACTAAATGTATCAAAACGTACTCCATAGCTAAAATGCATTAGCAGTGCTGGCGCAGTTTCTGTTAAGTTGAAGCATCATGGCAGTCTTGTCTGTAAGTGGTGGCGCATTCCCTTAATGTATCTGACCAAGGCCTGCACAGTGTAAACAGTATAAACAGTGTTGTTTTTACCCAGTGTCCTCTGCAGGCTTGAGACTGAAGCTCAGCTGGTTCTCAACAGGCTGCTCAGCCAGGCTGTACTTCACTGTCACTGAGCCCTCTGTGGCCCCTGAGCTCTGAGAGACAGACAGACAGAGACAGACAGACAGGCAGGCAGACAGGCAGGCAGGCAGGCAGGCAGGCAGGCAGGCAGGCAGGCAGGCAGGCAGGCAGGCAGACAGGCAGACAGACAGAACAAGAAAACAAAATAAATATGGGGTTGAGTGAAACACGTGGATAGTTGTCTTGGAAATAAGTTATGACCTTACCAGAGCCCTTTTAACATTGACATACTGTATGTTAAACAATATTAACACATAACAGGAAAAGGCAGAGCCCTCACCTCCCCAGTGAGCTGGGCATACAGCAGTGCCCTTTGACCCTGGAAGAGCACTCTGATTGGTGGAGACAGAGGGGTGACAGACACCCCCTTTGGGACATTCCACTTGACTGAGATGTCCACCACAGCCGGCTGCAGGGCAAACCGGAGGGACTGCATCACCTGAGGGAGGAGAGTGAAGGGAGCGAGGGAGGGGGGGAAGAGGTAAAAAATAAATAAATAAATAAAAGAAAAAGAAAACAGGGAGAGAGAATAAGGGAGGTGATATAAACATTTCTAACCAATACATCACTCTTTACGTATGCACACGCACACACTCTCACACACAAGCTCTCTTACTTTGGGCTGCATCTTGTCCTGTCCTGTGATAAACTGTGCGTGCCCTCCGCCCTGCTTGGCCACCCCAGAGATGAGAGCAGAGCTGGCCCCCTCCCCGATCCCAAAGGAGAAGCACCTGGCAGGGACACACCCAGGAAACAGTATTATTGTTGTTGTTGTCAAATACCAAAATAAGGCTATCAACCAAATCACTATCACTGGTACCATTTTCTTGTGCTTCTGGGCTGACTGAATTAAAACATAACTGTACAGGAAGAATAACCAATTCAAAAGATATTGTTTTCTCACAGGGGTGAAAAAACCCTAACCTACATAACTCTCTCACACTGCTGCCCACAAACAGGTTGGATAGGTTTACATTAGATTGGGTTTAACAATGAAGCTTTTGAGCCTCCCGAGTGGCGCATCGGTCTAAGGTACTGCATCGCAGTGCTTGAGGCGTCACTACAGATCCAGGTTCGATCCCGGGCTGTGTCGCAGCCGGAAGACCCATGAGGCAACGCACAATTGGCCCAGCGTAGTCTGGGTTAGGGGAGGGTTTGGCCGGCCGGGATGTCCTTGTCACATCGCGTTCTAGCGACTCCTGTGGCGGGCCAGGAGCGACTCCTGTGGCGGGCCAGGCGCATGCACGCTGACACGATCGCCAGTTGTACAGTGTTTCCTCCGACACATTGGTGCGGCTGGCTTCCGGGTTAAGCGAGCAGTGTGTCAAGAAGCAGTGCGGCTTGACAGGGTCATGTTTCAGAGGACGCATGGCTCTCGACCATCGCCTCTCCCGAGTCCGTACGGGAGTTGCAGCGTTGGGACAAGACTAAGGGGTAAAAATAATAATAATAATAATAATAATAATAATCTTTTGAGTCAAAAAATACCAGCCTTGTAGATATAGTTTCCACTGGCTTTACTTTCCAGACAGGTGCAATGGCCTCTGTAACAAACTCTATTAAAACCAGTTAGGGACAGTTCCAAATGTAAAAAATATTTTCACATGACCCTTGTACTGTATATATTTTTTACGTATTAACGCAAAAATAATGATTACCACCACAAATAACAAAAGCTGTAGCAACCTTGTGTTTTACCACTGCAGCATGCTTGTGTGGCACATTGGAGGCTTGCCTACGGGCCAGAAGGTTGAGGGTTCGCCGACCACCACTCTCCCTGCCTGTTTCATTACACTACCATCAGAGACAGCTGCAGACAATGATCATCTAGGGGAAATCAGATTTTCAACATTTTGATGCTATATTTATAATGATATAAAATATATGCAACACATTTTCCACCAACAGGTTTCTGTGCCCATGCACCACTCAACCAATAAGCAACTAGCACCTAGGGGAAAAATCTGATTTTTGCACGCAGCTTGGAGGGAACATTTTACACAACCCTTCCCTGTGCCCCAAAAAATAAAACCCTCCCCTAGTGTGGACCACTCCCCCACCCCAGTAATTTTAGAACTGTCCCTTACCTTTCAGGTGGGAGGTAATAGAGTTAGATATGGGAGCCCTGCTCCAACTAGGTCATGATAGGGGAAACAGAGCTTGTGGCCCACCTGTGAGAGCCAGCATTTCTCTTCACCAGATCCAGGACTTCCTTGGTGTTCCACACCTCACCGTCAGTGAACAAGAAGAGCTGAGGACGACAGAGAGGGTATGTTCATCATGTGTTAACGTTAAATAATGTACATGCAGCCCTGAAGTATACGCAGTATATTTCCTAAGTAAGCAAAAACACAGGTGCATTTTCTGTCCCAGTAAGCCAGGCGTGGTAAATACCACACTCAAAAGACACTGTTTGGTTGGATGTAACTCTGTAACTAAACATGCCATTGTAGTGAACATACAGTACATGTGATTGTAGTCATGTGTAGTGGGCATGTGTCAGTCATGGTCATGTGATGAGGTAGCCCCACCTGCGAACTTTTTTAAAAAACAGTGTCTGCCCTCAGCCCAAGAGGGAATTTCCTCTTGGTCTAAGACATTGGTTGCCCCCGTGGGAGACCAGTGTTACATTGGTGCCCAACGTGGGGCAAGTATGGGTAGCTGCAGCCCAATATGGCAACCAGAGTACGGGCGAGTGGGTGTTTTGAGAGAGGGTGTCTGGAAACCAAATCAGCTAATTGGGCAGATTAGATTCCACTCAAGACAGTTTTGCGTGGCTAATTGGGCTGTACTACGTTGTTAGTAAGCCTGCGACCAGTGCTCCGGTGTTGTTGCCTGCAGTTCTTGAAGTGATTCCTACTGGATATTATGGTCGTGTCGCCTGCGGTAACTACGTGGCCATTTTGTTTCTCTCACATGATTTTATTTCAAGTAAGAAAAGCACCCTACACAATAAATAACTAATATTGATAACCATCTAGATGTCACCTTGATACATACATACATACATACATACATACATACAGTGGTGTGAAAAAGTGTTTGCCCCCTTCCTGATTTGTTATTTGTTTGCATGTTTGTAACACTTAAATGTTCCAGATCAAACACATTTAAATATTAGTAAAAGATAACACAAGTAAACACAAAATGAAGGTTGTTATTATTAAGGGAAAACAAAATCCAAACCTACATGGCCCTGTGTGAAAAAGTGTTTGCCCCCCCTGTTATAACACAACTCAACTGTGGTTTATCACACCTGAGTTCAATTCCTCTAGCCACACCCAGGCCTGATTACTGCCACACCTGTTCTCAATAAAGGAATCTCTTAAATAGGACCTGCCTGACAAAGTGAAGTAGACCAAAAGATCCTCAAAAGCTAGACATCATGCCGAGATCCAAATAAATTCAGGAACAAATGAGAAAGAAAGTAATTGAGATCCATCAGTCTGGAAAAGGTTATAAGGCCATTTCTAAAGCTTTGGGACTCCAGCGAACCACAGTGAGAGCCATTATCCACAAATGGCGAAAACATGGAACAGTGGTGAACCTTCCCAGGAGTGGCCGGCCGACCAAAATTACCCCAAGAGCGCAGCGACGACTCATCCAAGAGGTCACAAAAGACCCTACAACAACATCCAAAGAGCTGCAGGCCTCACTTGCCTCAGTTAAGGTCAGTGTTCATGACTCCACCATAAGAAAGAGACTGGGCAAAAAGTTCCAAGATGAAAACCACTGCTGAGCAAAAATAACATTAAGGCTCGTCTCATTTTTGCCAGAAAACATCTTGATGATCCCCAAGACCTTTGGGAAAATACTCTGTGGACTGACGAGACAAAAGTTGAACTTTTTGGAAGGTGTGTGTCCCATTACATCTGGCGTAAAAGTAGCACCGCATTTCAGAATAAGAACATCATACCAACAGTAAAATATGGTGGTGGTAGTGTGATGGTCTGGGCCTGTTTTGCTGCTTCAGGACCTGGAAGACTTGCTGTGATAAATGGAACCATGAATTCTGCTGTCTACCAAAAAATCCTGAAGGAGAATGTCCAGCCATCTGTTTGTGACCTCAAGCTGAAGCGAACTTGGGTTCTGCAGCAGGACAATGATCCAAAACACACCAGCAAGTCCACCTCTGAATGGCTGAAGAAAAACAAAATGAAGAATTTGGAGTGGCCTAGTCAAAGTCCTGACCTGAATCCTATTGAGATGCTGTGGCATGACCTTAAAAAGGCAGTTCATGCTCAAACCCTCCAATGTGACTGAATTACAACAATTCTGCAAAGATGAGTGGGCCAAAATTCCTCCACAGCGCTGTAAAAGACTCATTGCAAGTTATCGCAAACGCTTGATTGCAGTTGTTGCTGCTAAGGGTGGCCCAACCAGTTATTAGGTTGTAGGGGGCAATCACTTTTTCACACAGGGCCATGTGGGTTTGGATTTAGTTTTCCCTTAATAATAACAACCTTCATTTCAAAACTGCATTTTGTGTTTACTTGTTATTTGACAAATATTTAAATTAGTTTGATCTGAAACATTTAAGTGTGACAAACATGCAAACAAATAAGAAATCAGGAAGGGGGCAAACACTTTTTCACACCATACATGCATACATACATGCCCACATACATACATACATACATACATACATACTCAATGGGGAGGATATTAACAGCAAAAAGAGACACAGTGCCCTTCTCTCCTGCTTGCCAAGCACTATTGTCCGGTAACGGCTTGGGAAGTACAGTGGCTTGCGAAAGTATTCAACCCCTTGCCATTTTTCCTATTTTGTTGCCCTACAACCTGGAATTAAAATAGATTTTTTCAGGGTTTGTATCATTTGATTTTAAAAACATGCCACTTTGAAGATGCAAAATATTTTTTTATTGTGAAACAAAGAAATAAGACAAAAAAACAAAACTTGAGCGTGCATAACTATTCACCACCCCAAAGTCAATACTTTGTAGAGCCACCTTTTGCAGCAATTACAGCTGCAAGTCTCTTGGGGTATGTCTCTATAAGTTTGGCACATCTAGCCACTGGGATTTTTGCCCATTCTTCAAGCTAGAACTGCTCCAGCTCATTCAAGTTGGATAGGTTCCGCTGGTGTACAGCAATCTTTAAGTCATACCACACATTCTTAATTGGATTGAGGTCTGGGCTTTGACTAGGCCATGACATTTAAACGTTTCCCCTTAAACCACACAAGTGTTGCTTTAGCAGTATGCTTAGGGTCATTGTCCTGCTGGAAGGTGAACCTCCGTCCCAGTCTCAAATCTCTGGAAGACTGAAACAGGTTTCCCTCAAGAATTTCCCTGTATTTAGCGCCATCCATCATTCCTTCAATTCTGACCAGTTTCCCAGTCCCTGCCACTGGAAAAACATGGTGTTCTCGGGGTGATGAGAGGTGTTGGGTTTGTGCCAGACATAGCGTTTTCCTTGATGGCCAAAAAGCTAAATATTTGTATCATCTGACCAGACTACCTTCTTCCGTATGTTTGGGGAGTCTCCCACATGCCTTTTGGTGAACACCAAACATGTTTTCTTATTTTTTTTCTTTAAGCAATGGCTTTTTTCTGGCCACTCTTCCGTAAAGCCCAGCTCTGTGAAGTGTACGGCTTAAAGTGGTCCTATGGACAGATACTCCAATCTCCGCTGTGGAGCTTTGCAGGTCCTTCAGGGTTATCTTTGGTCTCTTCGTTGCCTCTCTGATTAATGCCCTCCTTGCCTGGTCCATGAGTTTTGGTGGGCGGCCCTCTCTTGGCAGGTTTGTTGTGGTGCCATATTCTTTCAATTTTTAAATAATGGATTTAAAATGCTGCTCCGTGGGATGTTCCAAGTTTCAGATATTTTTTTATAACCCAACCCTGATCTGTACTTCTCCACAACTTTGTCGCTGACCTGTTTGGAGTGCTCCTTGGTCTTCATGGTGCCGCTTGCTTGGAGGTGCCCCTTGCTTAGTGGTGTTGCAGACTCTGGGGCCTTTCAGAACAGTTGTATATATACAGAGATCATGTGACAGATCATGTGACACTTAGATTGCACACAGGTGGACTTTATTTAACTAATTATGAGACTTCTGAAGGTAATTGGTTGCACCAGATCTTATTTAGGGGCTTCATAGCAAAGGGGGTGAATACATATGCACGCATCAATTTTCCGTTATTTATTTGTTAGTATTTTTTTAAACAAGTTACTTTTTTCATTTCACTTCACCAATTTTGACTATTTTGTGTATGCCCATTACATGAAATCCAAATAAAAATCCATTTAAATTACAGGTTGTAATGCAACAAAATTGGAAAAAACGCCAAGGGGGATGAATACTTTTGCAAGGCACTGTAGCCAATATCAGGGTGACAGTCACAGTAAGCACATGAATACAATGCATGAAGCATCAGTACTTTAAACAAAAATAAACAATTGTCCGTTTTATAACTGGAAATGTACAGTTATTTGTGTAAAACTAACATGGAAATATGACTCAGACTCATCCTCTGGCTTCAAAACAGAAGTCCAAACTATCATGGTATGGTAGTTCAATTTACGGTAGTTGTATGGTAAGAAACAAAAGACAAAAAACACAGCTCAATCAAAAACCTCTAGCAGAGAGTTTGACACACACGCGTTCCTTTCTACACGGCCACTACTTTCCTTTAGACACACCCACTCACCCATACTCTGGTCGCCATATTGGGATGCAGTCTCTCGTGGGGGAGGGGGTGAATGTAGAGGACATTAGGTCATGGTCACGTGATGAGGTACCCTCTCCCGCGAACTTCAAAACCAGTGTCTGCCCTCAGCACAAGAGGGAATTTCCTCATGGTCGAAGACATTGGTTGCTCCCGTGGGAGACCCAGGTTCATATGTCGAGTGTTACATGTGGAAAGGTGGGAGGAGTTTGAGGTGTTTCAGGAGGAAACTGCATGAATCACAGTGTGTGTGTGTAAGGTATGTAAAAGGCCAATGAGTGAGGTGATTAGAAATAAATATTAAAGTGTCACTCCACAATGATACAATCATTGACAGATTTCTTAAAACTACATTGTGGACCACTCAGAGTTTAGACACTAGGAAACAAACCTAGTCAAACATGGTACAGTGGTTCCTTTGGCATCATCTATAATACATTACATCAACTACATTATTGGTTATTATTGTTAACAAACCTCCAAACGAGCTTCAATGCCATACAACACTCCTTCCGTAGCCTCCAACTGCTCTTAAACACTAGTCAAACTAAATGCATACTCT